AGGGAGGGAAGGGCATGCCTTTAACCCGCATTTGGGTGAGGCAAAGACATAAAGTGTAACTATAATGTTTGTACCCTCACAATACCCTGGAATTAAAAAAAAAAAAAAAGACCAAATTAACTTGTTTTTGCTAAGTGGTAATTTTTATTGTTGCTTTCGTATTTAATTTTATGCCTATTGAAATTTTATTCAATCAGAACCAAGAAATTCTTGGCCCAGTTTTCAAATACTGTTGTGGAAAGGATGTAAATGAACATAGCATACCTATGGAATAGTTCTAATTGGGGGAATTGAAGTGGTTGCTAAGTTTTTCTGCACTATAGTTGAGTAGACTTATGGTATAGAATCATGAGGGTATTTTTCACTATCAATGACTAATTCTTACCTTGAAAATGTAAAACATAAAAACTAGCTGCAATTAGTCATTACTTAAAACTTCAGTCACTGATTTCTTCAGCAAGCGGGAAAGGTGAAGATGAGTTATAACCAGATAAAGATTATGAGTCATAGTGACGGCCCTTTTATAAGTTTTGTAACGTTGCATTTAAGAAAGAAAGTTGATCATACAACGGCTTTTTGAAAAATGATTAAAGCAAAAAGAAAAAGACAGACATCAGAAGGTTGCCGAAGTTGAAAGCCCTCAAAATATGTCTCCAAAAAGTTAAGTGTGACACAGGCATCCACTTCTGTATTTTCTAACACTGGAAATAACTGTTTAATTTAAAAGTAAAGGCTACATTGGCATTTTAACCTAGCTGAACAAAGAATCTCATAGCAACAGTTGTAATTTGAAGTCAAAAAACAAATGAATTAGCCATGACAAATACATTGAACTAAATTCTCATTACTGTTATCTTTTTGTATTAAAATTAACTTTTTTTTCTAATGTATATTGTTTGGTAAATTAAATTTGAATTCAGCCTTTTATGATAGCAGATATCGTTATATTCATCCAGGTAGTTTACGTGTAGCTTGCTATGTAGTTATTGGCAATAAAAACAGAAAATGCCTAGAAAATAAAATGCTCTGCTTTTTATTTATTCGATAATGAATAATTTGTGCTCAAGCTGGATGTGCTTAGATAAGAGAGACTGTAACTTTCACTTTTGTTTGTAATTATTTTGGTTCGAGGAATTTTTTACTATCAGATCAAGTTTTCAGAGAAATTTTGGAATGTTTATATTGAACCTTTCTGATCTCACAAAATAATTGTTCATCTTATATTTTAAATAATACCATTTTAGAAATTTGGAAATTTCTTCTTCAAAATTATATGTAAAGTTTTATATATAACCACTTGTTTTAAGTTGGATCATCATCACATAGATATAAATGGGATAATTATTATAAGTTAAAAATACACACTACTTTTCAATTAAAGGTTAATTTTTTAAAGTATGCCTATATTTTCTAATAGTTCATTTTAAAAATTAGCTTTTAGCTGTAGATTATTTTTCTGAAACAAGCACAAAAGTAGTTTCAATTTCATCCTAATTGATAGAGTGTAGTATGTGATTCCTTGCTATTAGAAGTTAAAGATCTTACTGAAATAGTATTTGAGGTAATTCGTAAATATCTAGTAGATAACCTGTGATAGTGAGAGGCTCATCAGATTTCGTAAAAATAATAACAACAATAATAATAATTTTTTCTTATTGCTCACAGGAAACTTGTCCAGTTTAAGTCGTCTTGGCCTGAGATATAACAGACTATCAGCAATACCCAGATCATTAGCAAAATGCAGTGCACTTGAAGAATTAAATTTAGAGAACAATAACATTTCTACTTTACCAGAGGTAAGAAGTAGATTAGAGAAAATAAAAGTTGAAATAAGTCTGCAAGATAATGCGGGGAAACCTAGTAAATCTTCACAGCTGGGGAAATAACTTGGTGATTGAGATTGTTTCATTCAGTTATAAAAAGGTCCCATAGAAAGATAACTGCAAAGAATGATCTATATGGAATGTACTACTTATTATCAATATTAGCTGCAACTCTCCTGGGACCCACATTATTGCTTATGCAATAATATTAAAGCCTATTTAGTATATAATGACCACCAGAACCTGTTATTTTTTTAGCACATTGTTTTTAATTTGAGTTTGTTTGTTCTATTAGAAAAATACTTTCATTTATTTTATTTAGGAATTAATTAGGTAAGATATAATACTCTTTTTAAAAAAATTATCTTTATTATTCTTTCACTCTTTCATTCTTGACTTTTCTTCTTTTGCTACCTACTATTTTAGCATGCTCAACAACGTATGTTTACTTATAACCATGATATCTTACTGTAATATTCTAACAAAAGAATAGAATTGTGGACTTACGGATTGATTGAACTTTGCAAAAGTCTTTTTTGTAACAATTAAAAATGTCTTATATAAGTGCCCCTACTATATTTTGACAATTGCTAGTTTTTCTGAGTGTGTGTGTGTATAAATGTATATTTTAATTAAGAGTAAAAGTTCTTTGGATGAATGTTTTTCAGATTTAAACTTTGATTTATGAAGAACCATTTGGGTAGATGAAGCTATAGGTTTGTAGCAATTAATTTATAAAATTTATTTAGTTGATTTGTTTCTTAGGGAGACAGAAATAAAATAGCACATATTAATTTGGGACTCTTATTAATTTGGATGTTTGCATTTTCAGAAAACAGGTTGGTCAGAGTATAAAGATGAATTTCCCAGGATTGTAGTTTCTAGGCTGGACCAGTTCAGTTCACTACGACTATTATGACAATATCTTACCTGTGGCAAAATAGTACTGTTGTTAATAGCAGTTTACATAAAATAAGGAGTAAAACTTACAGATTTCAGATACAGCCCTGAGAACTAGACTGTCAGGATTTTTGTCCTTCTGTGATAGTGGTAATTTAGAATGATCAAAATGGGTGATTTTTTTTAAAAATGTCATCCCCTTTTCTAACCATGACTTATCCATAATAAAGCAAATAACACCTTAATTAGGCCTTGTTGTGATTCCTTTTGGGTGAGATTTGTGAGTCTAAGGCTGACTGGTGCCAGTATGCCTAAATATAAGACAGGGTCTAAATCAAAGTTCAAAAAGTGAAAAAATTTAAATTTATATATATCTAGTCATATGTCAATGAAATGGAACGAGTAAGTATTGGATACCTGTTATAGACATTGTGTGAGGTACTCTCTTATAGAACATTTTATGACTGACATAAGTCAGGATTTACTTTTGTTTGTTTGTTTAAAGAGTAGTTTTAGATTCAGCAAAATTGAGTCGATGATACAGAGATTTTTCGTATACCCCCATCCCCAAATATGCAGAGCCTCCTCCAATATCAGCATCCCCCACCAGGATGGTACATTTGTTACAATTAACGAACGTCTAGTACATTGACACATTAGGATCACCCGGAGTCTAGAGTTTACATTAGGGTTCACTCTTGGTGGTTGTACATCCTGTGGATTTTGACAAATTTATAACAACATGTATCCACCATTATGGTATCATACAAAGGAATTTCGCTGCCCTAAAAATCCTGTGCTCCACCTATTCATTACTCATCCCCTCATCCCCTGGCACCACTGATCCTTTTTTGCTTTGGATGAGAGAGATTAGAGGGCATATAAAGAGAATGACAACTCTCTTCAATCTGAATGTGGAAAAATGTATGTATGTATATGTACACTTGTGTTTAAACTGGCCTGTTTTCAGACAGAGATGCTGTGAGGAAAATCCTTGCTTGTCCTTGTCCAAATATGGGAAAGCATTAAGTCTCATTTAAAAGTAGTCAGTGTACTTTGGAAGCAGCATAGTCTTAACACAGATGTGTAATTATCTGCATTTATAATAAGCACAGTAAGGAAAACAATAAAATCCGTTAGATAGCACTTATGAGACTTTCAGGCTGGGTTAGGCAAGAAAAATCATGACAGTGGTTTTCAATAGGGGTTCATTATATTGCTGAAATCAGAGCTGATAAAATGACTATATACTTTTCCATTTGAAGAATATCTGGACTAAAAATGGACAAGTTTTAATGTAGACATATTACATAAAAGGAACTCAATAACTTTAAGCACATATACTCAAGGCATGAGGCTAGGAGCGGTATATGCAGTATCTCATTTAATCTTCAATATAAACCTACTAGTTATTAGGTTATTCTCATCGAATAGATAGGGAAATAAGACTTAAGAGAGATTATATTTTTAGCCAAATTTGTTATCTTAAATATTTTTCTGGAAATTTGGAGATATATTGATTATCTAATTAATCCACCAAAGTTGACAAAATTGTTAAGTAGGAGATCTAAGATAGGAACTCAGATGTGTCTAACTCTAAAGCAATGGTAAGCAACCCCTAAGTTTCACAATATGACTTAAGAAATGAGAGGTTGGACAGCTGTCTTCTTGTTGTTCCATTTCAGATATATTCAGATATTAACATTTTGTCATAGAAGAATGTTAATTTAATAAAGTCAGGTGTAAGAAGAATAATAACATTTTTGCCATGAGACTCAGTAAAGCTCCGTAATTTTCAATAAAGTAGACTGTAGACATTTTTCCTGAATTGACTGCTAGGTAAATTTTTTCACCACCACTTTTTACTTATGCTCTTCCTTTTGTTTGTGTACAATAGCTAAATGTTAAAAGTAATTTCTTAATGTTCAATATAAAGAACAAGTTTCAGTTCACTGTACAGTTACACTTCCAATTATATAGTTATTTCATTCTTTTCAGCTGGCCTTGCCAATTATACTGACTCCTCAGGTACTAAGTTTTTAGTTTGCTCAAGGTGGACACCTGAAGTTTGAACATTATTTAAAACCTACACACCCTTCACACTGTGCTTGTTTCTCCCTGCTTGTGCTTTTACTTTAGTCTATAATGATTCTTGTACTTCTCTGAATATTTAAGATTTTTTTCATCCTTCAAAATCTAGCTTTCTCAACTTCTTTCCTGCTTCCCCAGTTATTCCAGTATTTCTTCTTTTCTTTGAATTTAAATAGAGAAGGAATTTAAATTTAAGCACTTATTATATGCTAGATATTATAAAACTATTTTATCTCTCTTAGTCTTCACTATGACCTGTAAAATAAGGCATCATCATTTTAAAAATGAACTAAGATTCAGAAAAATAACTTGCAAAAGTCACAAGCTATTAAAAGATAGAGCTAGGGTTCAAAAGAATTTAGAGCTTATAGCAGGTTTCTCAAATGTTAATGAGCATACAAATCACCTGGGAATCTCATTAAAATGTATATTATGGTTCATATATGAACCAAACAGTAGGGCCCAAGAGTCTGCATTTCTGATAAGCTCCCAGGGGATGCTGATGCTGATGCTCTTTCTTGACCCAGACTTTGAATAGCAAGAGCCTATTCTAGATAATTTATTATTAATTATATGTAGTTATGTATTATTTTCCTATTGTTTCCCATCTATGTACTTTATTTCTCATATAGGGTTTAGTCTTCTTAGTAGCAGAGATTCTTTATAATACCTAAAGTTTAGCACTTTGGTTTCATGGTGGGAAGCTAAAGCCACCATAGGAGAGATAGGGTTATATGCTAAGTAAATACCTGTTTAATGGATACATATATTCCCCCAGAAATTTTGCCATATAAAAAAGCAGTGTATTATACAGTATCAGGAAGTGTAATAATCTTCTGAATTTAATATTCCTGAAAGGAACAGTTAAATTATGGAATAACAGGTTACTCTGTTCCAGGCATTATGTTAATCTTAATAATTTAGAGATAGGTATATAACTAAGACCTAGGTAGGACTGGTCACAGAACCAACGGCAGAACCAGAACTCAGACCCAGGACTGTCTGACATTAAAGCTTCTGACTGTAGAGGTCTCAAACTAGTCACCCATGAGGCACCTCTCACCCACAGACATGTTTTCTTTACTCCATAGAGTATTTTAAACCAATGGAAGCCAAACAATAAAAATCAGGAGAATTTCCTGTTTCTTATAAGATCTGTGAGTTTGACTACGTTGGCTCCACATTTCTGCAAGGCAACAATTTGCTAGAGCCCTGTATTGACTGGTAGATGAGGTATCACTACTGGCCTCAGGGCTCATCCCAACCAGTCTCTGTCATTTGTTACCTACAAGGCGCTTTGAGGACTGCTGCTCTATACAAAATTAGTAAATAAGTCTTGTTACAGTTCTAATTCTTATGCTTATTTCGTTTTTTACAGAGTCTTTTATCAAGTCTTGTTAAACTGAATAGTTTGACCTTAGCTAGAAATTGCTTCCAGTTATATCCAGTGGGTGGTCCATCTCAGTTTTCTACTATCTATTCCCTCAATATGGAACACAATCGAATCAATAAAATTCCATTTGGAATCTTCTCCAGAGCAAAAGTATTAAGTAAGCTGAATATGAAGGTAAGCATATATTTGTATTAGGGGTCTGGGGGAAGTTAATATAGCTGGTACTTCCACTAATATTTATGTTTTCTCTGTTGGTATAGAGAATGAGTACTTGTACCTTCCTGACAAGTCTAAATTGATAACAAGAACACTTTGGGGTGATTTGTATCAGATAACAAATATCTTAGAACTGCGTATACCCTTGGGAATTTGTCCTAAAGAAATAATCATGAATATCCATAAAAATATAGTTGTAGGTATATGTATTGCAGAGCTATCTATTTCGTATGTACCAACTTATTAATAAAAATAGGGACTTAATTTTTTTTAAGTAATATATCTTTAATGGAATCCTATGGCGCCATTAAAACTGATATTCTGATCTAGAACAATACTAAATCCTAGTTGAAAAATTCTCAGTTTATTAAGTAGAAGAAAGTTAAAGCATATAAAAGTCTCTTCCTATGCATAATTTTTAAAAGTTGTTTTTAATATGCTTAATTAAATATTTATATGCATACATATATCCAGTGTTTACCAAAATGTTTTTTATCTTTAGATTCCAGAATTATTTAGTGTCTTTTTACTTATCTATGTACTGTACAGTGAATGAGTTTCATATTTATAATAAAGTTTATTGCAAAAGGAAAAAAGAGCTGGGCGTAGTGGCTCACACCTGTAATCCCAGCACTTTGGGAGGCTGAGGTGGAAGGATCACTTGAGGCCAGGAGTTCCAGACTGGCCTGGGCAACATAGCAAGACCCCTGTCTCTACAAAAAATAAAAAATATTAACTGCATGTGCTGGTGTGTACCTACAGTCTTAGCTACTCGGAGGCTGAGTTAGGAGTATTGCCTGAGCCTAGGAGTTCGAGGTTGCAGTGGGCTATGATCTCACTGCTGTACTCCAGCCTGGGTTGATGAAGTGAGACCCCATCTCAAAAAAAGAAAAATAAAAAAATTTTAAAAAGAAGAAAAGAAATGGAAAAAATATCTAATCCAAGGATTTAATTTATAGTAAACAAACTTTAGGCCCAGAGAAGATAATTGAATTGGTCACCTATCTAATTCATGGCTGAAGTAGGAATCCAGAAAACCTGGGTTTCCTGATTCCAGGTGTAGTGTTCTTTCTGTTATATCATACTATATCCATTTGTCTTTGCGCCACTTCAACATAATTGTGGTTCCTTAAACTCTAATCTAAAAGTACAATTTTTTATTCTATCTATACTTCTTCACAAATATGTATTTTATGATGATTCTTTAGGAGTATATAATAAGTAAACTAATGGGAATTCCAGATAATTTATAGTCTTAAATAAGTATAAAATTTGTTATTAATCAGTCTGGTTATATGAGATATAGCAGTGGCAATGATGTTAATTCCAAATGTCCATTTTGTAATATTCAACTTAGAACACAGTGGTTCCGGTGTTCATTACTTTTTGCATTTGATTATACATCTTTATGTATATGGTATTGCAGTATATTAGCTTGGAAAAGCTTACTGTTTTCAATAAAATAAAAATAAAACTTAGAGCTTTGCCTTAATTTTTCTTTAAACACAATAGTGTGAATTTTTAATGAAACTTTTTCTTGATTAAATCCAAATGAAACTTATCATTTTTCCTCATGTAAGTATCAGTAATAAATTTTTTTTAAATGAAAATACTTTATCATAGTGTAACAATCAGTAATTTGGGCATAGATGGATATTAAGTGAAAAGCTTTCATTATAATATGGTTTTCAGATGGATGTTTGCTACTTGAGATTTCTCTTATGGATGATTTTGTGTAAAATGAAACAAGTAATCCATGTCCAGTGCAGAAAAAATTAAAATACAGATTAACAAAAAGGACTTAAAATACTCCTACCACTGAGAGGTAGCATCACTGTTAACATATTGACATAACTTATGGATACACTTATCTGGGACAGGGGCGCTGATTGTTCTCTCCCAGTACCAACACCCCTTACACATAATGGTGTGGTAAGAGTTAACATGATGAAAGTGTGCGTTGTAAGTGAATACATGAAAGCAGGAAAAAGATAGTGAATAATTGGCATATATTTCACTTTTTGTTCCGTATATAGCCGTATCTAATTTTTAAACAAAATTAGGACCACACTTACTGTTTCATCATCTGTTTTTATTACATAATGATAAATATATTTTACCATCTTTTCTTATGGATTTTTATATTGAAATTTTAGACAATATTTTAATGATTTAATATGTGGTCTTAATAAGACTATTTCTTCCTCTCTTATTTTACTGCTCAGCATCTCTAGAATTCCTGAACTCATCCAACTTTCCTTATGGGCTATGATTAGATGTGTCTTCTTCCATTGTATTCATATCTTTATTTAAGTATTTACATTTTATTCAATGATCCCTGTACATTATTGTAAAATGAGGAAAACATATTTATATCACTAGGATCTTTGAAATCTTATGTTTCTCTGTATCGTGTATTTTTCTATTTCCATTACAAATAATGACATAGGGAATAAACTTCCAGTTAAACCTCAAAATAAAAGCCTAATTACTGTATAAAAAGCTTTGGAGGCTTAGAGTTTTTGTTGCTTTTTTTTCTTTCTATATTTGGATATCAAAAAGGGAAATAAGGTTTTGTTTAATTAAGAATTATGTTTCCAAGAGAGACAGGCAAATATGAAGCTTTGTTGTTCTACCTTGGATACTTCTTTTTGTCTTTGCCAGGACAATCAGTTAACATCACTTCCCTTGGATTTTGGAACTTGGACCAGTATGGTAGAATTGAATTTAGCCACTAATCAGCTGACAAAGATCCCTGAGGATGTGTCTGGTCTTGTTTCCCTTGAGGTGAGTATAGATGAGCATTTAGAACTCTTTAGACCCATCTATACTTGTCTCATTTATAAAATTTCACATTGCAATAAGCAATTTCTATTTGGGTAAAGATCATAATTAGAAATCTTAGAGCTTTCTTAAACATACAACCCTATTAGGATGATGAAGTGTTGACTTAGTCTAGGCTTAGTGCTTCTGAACTACTCTTACTAAAAGTTGGTAAATTTGAGTGCTATAACTTACCTTTGAAATAAAAGGTCACTAAAACTTAGCATCTTTTAGAACATATTTTTTAACTACTACACCACTGTCTACCAAAATAATTATGGACTCCTTAGACTAGTGTTCAGAACACTTCATCGTACTTTTTCATCCTAATTACCTACTTACTATTTTATTTACTAGTTAAATTTTTTTCTTTGTTGGAAATCTAGTGTGTGTATTTCTAGCTCTGTATGTTCAGTCCTATCGTTTCTAATATCTAGAATGCCCTCTCCTCATCCCCTTAATTTTTTCTTTTGAAATTCTTTTCCATAATAAAAGATCATCTTATTGTTACCTTCTTAGTCAGGGATGATTTCTCTTGCCTCTAGGTTCCTAGTTTTCATCTTTTTGATGAAAAAGCTTACTAGTAGTAAATATATTGTTTTTTTATTTTATTTATTTTTTAAGAGACAAGATCTTGCTCTGTTGCCCAGGCTGGAGTGCAGTGGTGCGATCATAGCTCACTGCACCCTCAAACTTCTGGGCTCAAGTGATCCTCTTGCCTCAGCCTCCTGAGTAGCTGGGACTACAGGTGTGTGCCACCATTCCTGGCTAATTCTTAAATTTTTTGTAGAGACAGGATCTTCTTCCTATGTTGCCCAGGCTGGTCTCAAACTCCTGGCCTCAAGAGATACTCCTGCCTCAGCCTCCCAAAGTGCTGGAATTATAGGCATGAGCCACTGTGTCCAGCCAAATATTATTGTTTTGTAAAATTTCCGCCATATTCATGTTTTTTAAAAATCTAATTATTTAATATTTATTATTATTAATAAGGTGAAATAGCATGGTATAATGGCTAAAAGCATGAGTTTTGAAGTCAAACAGATCTGGGTGCAATTCTGATTTTTCTCTGTCTATAGTTATGGATTTAATCCACCCAAGCTTCAGTTTCCTAAGCTATGAAAGGGGAACAATAATGTTATTTACCTCATAGGGTTGTAATTAGGGTTAGAGGCAATAATATACATAATGCATTTAATACAGTGCCTTGCAAACAGTAAACTCAAGTGGTAGCTGTTATTATTTTCTTTGTCTCTTTCTATATATTTGCTTTATTATGAGTGGTATAACTTTGGGGGAAATAAATGGGCATAAAAATTTAGCCAGAATGTGGCCAGGCGCGGTGACTCACGCCTGTAATCCTAGCACTCTGGGAGGCCGAGGTGGGTGGATCGCTCAAGGTCAGGAGTTCGAGACCAGCCTGAGCAAGAGTGAGACCCCGTCTCTACTAAAAAATAGAAAGAAATGTTAATTGGACAACTAAAAAATATATAGAAAAAATCAGCCGGGCATGGTGGCGCATGCCTGTGGTCCCAGCTACTCGGGAGGCTGAGGCAGAAGGATTGCTTGAGCCCAGGAGTTTGAGGTTGCTGTGAGCTAGGCTGACGCCCTGGCACTCACTCTAGCCCGGGCAACAAAGCGAGACTCTGTCTCAAAAAAAAAAAAAAAAAATTTAGCCAGAATGTTATGGAGATCTTTCTATTTACTGCTCTTTCATACACCTTATTTTTCCCCACCGCCCTGCTAATTGTAACTTCTTTGAGAACAGACTGTCTTCCTCAGCCTTCCCACCCTCCCCCATCCATATCTTGTAGTGGGGCTTTCAGTATAATAAATATGCCACAAATAAAAACTGTGGCGGCATGATTGGGGCAGTTTAGAAGTCATTTGTTACCTTCCTTAAGTGATAGTTTATAAGTGATTTTAGATAAATAATCAGTTTCCTATTAGATAGACACTAACTCTATGAATCTTAGTGTAAACAGTAATTTTATTTTTTTAAAATTTAGTTAAAATTAAGTTGCTTCTGTTGCTTTCATTAGTTTCGCATAATAAAATTCCATTTCTAATAACTATGGTTTTTTTATGACTAGTAAGTTAAATATTTTATATATGTTATATAAATGAATATTACCCTTCATATTCACTGTTTGGAAAATTAACATTGTTTAATAAGTGATAATATTACCACACAATGGTAATATCCATTTCATGAGTTGCTGAACATTGTCAATAATTTCTCATTAGGTTCTAATATTATCAAACAATCTTCTAAAGAAGCTTCCCCATGGTCTTGGAAATCTTAGGAAGTTAAGAGAGTTGGATTTAGAGGAGAACAAATTGGAATCCTTGCCAAATGAAATTGCTTATCTTAAGGATTTACAGGTAAAAACATTATCCTGATGGCTTTGTAGTTACATGATTAAAGTTTTTGGAATCTGTTCCAAATTGCACATTTTTCTTAAGATTTTGACCTAATTCTTGGACCAGATAGATTTTCCTATTAGAGCATTAGAACTGACTTTTATGATCATATAATCTATCTGCTTTTGTTTTCCTAATAAATGGTAGTTTTTGAAAGAAAAACCTATAACTTATTAAGTGATTCTCATCCTATCTAATCTAATTTTCTTATTAATTTATTTTATTGTTTAGTAGATGTATTATTTTAAGATGTATTATTTGCATCAGTTGTAGGAAATTTATATGTAACTGTCTTTTATTTTGTTAATCTTTTTTAGAAATTAATCTTGACAAACAACCAGTTGACCAATCTTCCCAGAGGCATTGGTCACCTTACCAATGTTGCACATCTTGGCCTTGGAGAGAACCTACTCACTCATCTTCCTGAGGAAATTGGTATGAACCCTATGGATGCTTGATTCTGTACTAATAATTTGCTCTTGTGCTTTCAAGCAGTGTTTCAGAGAAATACAACCAATCTACTGTTTTTATAAAGTGAGGTTACATCAGGCATAAGATTTTTTTTTGTAGAGTACCAGTGGTTTAATTGGTTGATTGGTTTTGGTTAGGTTTCCTTATGGGATGTTAGGGTTAATATGGTATTTGAGAATGTTCTAGAATACTTAATTTCCAGTAGTTTTTATATATGATCTCAATTTAGAAGAGTTATGTTATACTTCTTCCAAATTTAAAAATTACACAGGCTTGAATTAAATTAGTAATGTCTTTGCCAAAAGAACATTTCTTTATGGGATTTGAGTATTAATATTAATATTTGACTAATTGATACTTGGCAGTACTTTAGCATTTTTCAAGTGTTTTCATTTCCATTATTTCATATAATCAACATGACCACTTTGAATTTTGGGTAATGCAGATTGTAATCCTATCTTACAAAAAGTGAGTTATTTGATGAAGATCACATAGTAAACAAATAGTAGTTCTTAAATTAGTAATTCTGTACATCCTGTTCTCCCATCTGTAGTGTGCTGTCCCATAGGCACTATAGGTTAGTAGTTCAGAATGATTTTGGAGATAATAGACAATTCAAAATCTAGCTCTGCTGCTTATTGGCTTTGTGACTTTGGATAAGGTATGTAAACTTCCTAAGCCTCAAATTTCTTACCTGTAAAATAAGGATAATAGTAACTTCTAATAGGGTTATTCTGAAGATTAAATAATATCTTATATGTAAACAGATTTTTTTTACCTGCTAGCTATTTAATTAGTCTTCTAATAAATGCCATTGTCAAATACTTCAAATATTAGAGTTTAAAAATTGGAAACACATGAGGCAAATTTATACTTCTAGTATATTTATTTCTAAAATATTTAATATTTATTATTATTAATAAGGTGAAATAGCATGGTGTAATGGCTAAAAGCATGAGTTTTGAAGTCAAACAGATCTGGGTGCAATTCTGATTTTTCTCTGTCTATAGTTATGGATTTAATCCACCCAAGCTTCAGTTTCCTAAGCTATGAAAGGGGAACAATAATGTTATTTACCTCATAGGGTTGTAATTAGGGTTAGAGGCAATAATATACATAATGCATTTAATACAGTGCCTTGCAAACAGTAAACTCAAGTGGTAGCTGTTATTATTTTCTTTGTCTCTTTCTATATATTTGCTTTATTATGAGTGGTATAACTTTGGGGGAAATAAATGGGCATAAAAATTTAGCCAGAATGTGGCCAGGCGCGGTGACTCACGCCTGTAATCCTAGCACTCTGGGAGGCCGAGGTGGGTGGATCGCTCAAGGTCAGGAGTTCGAGACCAGCCTGAGCAAGAGTGAGACCCCGTCTCTACTAAAAAATAGAAAGAAATGATCTGGACAACTAAAAATATATATATAGAAAAAATCAGCCGGGCATGGTGGCGCATGCCTGTGGTCCCAGCTACTCGGGAGGCTGAGGCAGAAGGATTGCTTGAGCCCAGGAGTTTGAGGTTGCTGTGAGCTAGGCTGACGCCCTGGCACTCACTCTAGCCCGGGCAACAAAGCGAGACTCTGTCTCAAAAAAAAAAAAAAAAAATTTAGCCAGAATGTTATGGAGATCTTTCTATTTACTGCTCTTTCATACACCTTATTTTTCCCCACCGCCCTGCTAATTGTAACTTCTTTGAGAACAGACTGTCTTCCTCAGCCTTCCCACCCTCCCCCATCCATATCTTGTAGTGGGGCTTTCAGTATAATAAATATGCCACAAATAAAAACTGTGGCGGCATGATTGGGGCAGTTTAGAAGTCATTTGTTACCTTCCTTAAGTGATAGTTTATAAGTGATTTTAGATAAATAATCAGTTTCCTATTAGATAGACACTAACTCTATGAATCTTAGTGTAAACAGTAATTTTATTTTTTTAAAATTTAGTTAAAATTAAGTTGCTTCTGTTGCTTTCATTAGTTTCGCATAATAAAATTCCATTTCTAATAACTATGGTTTTTTTATGACTAGTAAGTTAAATATTTTATATATGTTATATAAATGAATATTACCCTTCATATTCACTGTTTGGAAAATTAACATTGTTTAATAAGTGATAATATTACCACACAATGGTAATATCCATTTCATGAGTTGCTGAACATTGTCAATAATTTCTCATTAGGTTCTAATATTATCAAACAATCTTCTAAAGAAGCTTCCCCATGGTCTTGGAAATCTTAGGAAGTTAAGAGAGTTGGATTTAGAGGAGAACAAATTGGAATCCTTGCCAAATGAAATTGCTTATCTTAAGGATTTACAGGTAAAAACATTATCCTGATGGCTTTGTAGTTACATGATTAAAGTTTTTGGAATCTGTTCCAAATTGCACATTTTTCTTAAGATTTTGACCTAATTCTTGGACCAGATAGATTTTCCTATTAGAGCATTAGAACTGACTTTTATGATCATATAATCTATCTGCTTTTGTTTTCCTAATAAATGGTAGTTTTTGAAAGAAAAACCTATAACTTATTAAGTGATTCTCATCCTATCTAATCTAATTTTCTTATTAATTTATTTTATTGTTTAGTAGATGTATTATTTTAAGATGTATTATTTGCATCAGTTGTAGGAAATTTATATGTAACTGTCTTTTATTTTGTTAATCTTTTTTAGAAATTAATCTTGACAAACAACCAGTTGACCAATCTTCCCAGAGGCATTGGTCACCTTACCAATGTTGCACATCTTGGCCTTGGAGAGAACCTACTCACTCATCTTCCTGAGGAAATTGGTATGAACCCTATGGATGCTTGATTCTGTACTAATAATTTGCTCTTGTGCTTTCAAGCAGTGTTTCAGAGAAATACAACCAATCTACTGTTTTTATAAAGTGAGGTTACATCAGGCATAAGATTTTTTTTTATAGAGTACCAGTGGTTTAATTGGTTGATTGGTTTTGGTTAGGTTTCCTTATAGGATGTTAGGGTTAATATGGTATTTGAGAATGTTCTAGAATACTTAATTTCCAGTAGTTTTTATATATGATCTCAATTTAGAAGAGTTATGTTATACTTCTTCCAAATTTAAAAATTACACAGGCTTGAATTAAATTAGTAATGTCTTTGCCAAAAGAACATTTCTTTATGGGATTTGAGGATTAATATTAATATTTGACTAATTGATACTTGGCAGTACTTTAGCATTTTTCAAGTGTTTTCATTTCCATTATTTCATATAATCAACATGACCACTTTGAATTTTGGGTAATGCAGATTGTAATCCTATCTTACAAAAAGTGAGTTATTTGATGAAGATCACATAGTAAACAAATAGTAGTTCTTAAATTAGTAATTCTGTACATCCTGTTCTCCCATCTGTAGTGTGCTGTCCCATAGGCACTATAGGTTAGTAGTTCAGAATGATTTTGGAGATAATAGACAATTCAAAATCTAGCTCTGCTGCTTATTGGCTTTGTGACTTTGGATAAGGTATGTAAACTTCCTAAGCCTCAAATTTCTTACCTGTAAAATAAGGATAATAGTAACTTCTAATAGGGTTATTCTGAAGATTAAATAATATCTTATATGTAAACAGATTTTTTTTACCTGCTAGCTATTTAATTAGTCTTCTAATAAATGCCATTGTCAAATACTTCAAATATTAGAGTTTAAAAATTGGAAACACATGAGGCAAATTTATACTTCTAGTATATTTATTTCTAAAATATTTAATATTTATTCTAGCTGACCTCATTTAATTGTTTGAGACATTTTCCTAGAAAGTACAAATATCCTAAGATAGTCTAAGAACAAGTTTTAAAAGACCATATAATTTGATGTTTGGCTTACTGTCAAATATGTGATAACTCCCTTACGGAAAGTTTATATGAAGTAACAAAAACTTTCCTCATGAGAAATTTATTAATATGAGAAATTGTCACATTGTCTACAACATAAAAGTGATTATAGGCACTGAATATATAATAAACTCACCTCTGAAGTTTAATATGCATGTGTATGTGTTTGTGTGTGTGTGCATGCATGCCAGACTGTCCCAAACAGAATCACTGGAGATGGACATGTATTTTAAAAAAGCTCACCAAGCTCGAAGACCATAAAGGAAGAGGTTCTGATTTAGTTGATATGGACTGTGACTTGGATATCAGGAGTTTTTTAAATCTCCCCAGTTGATTTAAATATGCAGCAAAGTTTGAGATCCATGGTTGTAGAGGATTTTAAAACTAAGATAAGAGAATAAGAGGAAATGAGTATTAAGTATATATAATGCCCAGGATAGCATCATGCCCAGTTGAACTTTTGAAATAGTAACTCATTTTTTTAAAAAGTAATAATTGATTTGATTTTTTTAAACAGGTACACTGGAGAACCTAGAAGAACTGTATTTGAATGACAACCCCAACCTGCATAGCCTTCCCTTTGAGCTGGCTCTCTGCAGCAAGCTTTCAATCATGAGTATTGAGAATTGTCCACTCAGCCACCTTCCACCTCAGATTGTTGCTGGGGGGCCTTCTTTTATCATTCAGTTCCTAAAGATGCAGGGTCCGTATCGTGCCATGGTCTGATACAAATCTACTGGTCCCACACACTGTTCAAAAATAGACTGCCATTAATTTTTCATATCTATATCTGTATCTATTTATGTAGATACTGATATATATGGCAGATTTATAAAGATTGCATTATGTGTTTCTGCTAATAGAGGAATCATAGCCATTTAGATTTTTTTTTTTAATTCTGTACAAAAGGCTTATATAAGTTTTCTTTGCTGAATTTGATGGATGTTTTTCTGTTGTGTAATCTGATATGCCAGTTTGCTTAAAACATTTGCCAACAAATTATGAAGTTATTAAATTTAAGGGACAGAGGTAGTACAGTTAGATATACTTTCTCTTAGGAAAAATAATGGGCAAATAATTTTGTTGCAACTTTTCATATATATATTTTCCCCTTGTCAATTGTCATATCTTTATAGTATTGTAGGCCCTGAAGGTAGAATTTTTCTTTAACTTATTTTGAGATTTGAGATTTAAATTTTATGTATTGTTTACAGTCAGAGTAAATCACTGGATTGTTGTTGTTGTTATTATTTTTTGGTTTTGATTTGCTCTGTTTTAATCAGTCAAATCTAGAGTTTATATCCTCTGTTAAAGAATTTGCATCAGCTGGCTTAAATAATAAAAGGTATTTGCTTATTAAAACAACTGGCAAAGTGAAAAGATACAGTCAAAAATCTCGTATTTCTTTAATTGTGCTTCTCTAATGAGTTGTAAAGTAAAATACCTGAAGTGAGTCTTTGGGTAGGGGGAGGGTATTGAGACCTTTTTTTAGTCTAAACATTTTTTCTTAAGTTTGGGGAACAAAAACTTATAGTGAAAAGGAGCTTTTTCATTCCTGAAAGTTGCAGATTCACAAGAACTAACAGAATAATTTGGCAAATAAATAAATTACATATAAA